TTTCTTCATTAAATGATGGTAGGTCTTCCAGGTGCAGGATATTCTTATCTGGGGATGAAGTTTGACCAACATCATTCTTCCCTTCTGGTATTTTGATACCAGGAACCTGCACACAAATCCCACCAGCTATAATTCAGAGCTGGACCAAAATCTAGTAAAGATAAAACTTTACAACCGCCGTTTTTTAGCATATTGTGAATACATGAAAAGTTAGCCTATAAAATGATTGTAGACATTACTAATACATGAGCTGAGACACTATTCACATCACCAACAAAAGCTTTTAACGAGAGACATAAATATCTTTTGAAAAGATATACTAACCCCATCAACCTCCCGTTGTTGAACATGGCTTCGACCCAGCAAGTCAATTGAAGCAGGAGATTTCTGCTGTTTCTTATTAAGTCGATTGTCCCATTCAATGCTTTCAACAGCTACAAACTGTTATAAATTGCTTTGAATTCAGAAAGGCTTTCAACTGTATAGAAAACATAAACTTTAAAATATAATCAAAGAACCTTTCCGGAATCGATCACACTTAAAGGTAAAGACAATGAACCATGAATGTCCAAACTTGCATCTTCATCACCCACTGAAAGGACACATCCATTCTCATCTGGGATATCTATTGGCCTTTAAAATCAAACAAACAGCGGTAATTAATTTTGAGAAGTGACCATTTTAGAGGATTATATAACTTTGGGGGACGAAGTTTACAAATAATATGTACAACTAACCTGCATATGATTCGAGCTTCTCCTATTAACAAAGAAACTACATTGGTCAGCTTTAATTCACTTTGCAGTCAAAATTAATTTCTGATCTAAAGTAACATCTTATTCACAGCATAAGCATATCATCAACTAATGAAGATTTTGCCTTCTAATTTTTTTACACGAGGGAAGGGACGAAGCATTCAAGTTTCTTTTTTTTAGTGTTAACTAAATAAAATTATCCTTAATTTCAAGTATGCAACTTTTTCATGCACATCTTGACTTAATCGTTAAACTTGTAAAGCGTTAAAATCAACCAAACAAAAACAAATGCAAACAACAGAAGAACAGACAGTAAGTTGTTTCACATTTTTCAGTTGTTAATGAAGAATGAAAATAATAAAATTGATTATCATATAAAATCCATTTTACATAAATATTTTTTAAGACTCCTTACTTATAGGATATAAATTTATTTCCAGTTTAATCTTAGCGATATATTTCAAACAATTAAAATGCACCACTATGTCGCTGTTCAATTCTACGTGTTCTGTTAGGAAGACAAAATGAGAGAGAAATTATATAATTCATGAGTTCGACTACACCATGGAGACTGAATAATATAATTAGACAAGAGGTAATAAAGGCAAAAATTAAAAATAAAATAAAATCCTACTTACCATAATTATATGATTTGGTTAGTCTATATAATGAATTTAGTCACTATTTTATCACATTCAAATACTCCTCCTCAAATCAAACAAACACGTTAGATGCACCAAGTTTATCACATGTAACTTGTCCTAGAACACTCAAGAACTTAATGAAAACATCCGCCAGCAAGTCCTACTAATAAAGTGAGTGGTGAATTCTCAATATAAAATCTCCTCTCTAACTGGGATGAGATTTGCTTACAGGAAAGGAGGTAGCCCTTAACATATCAGCGCGATTGGCACTCTAGGATCCAAGGGGAACAACCAAAGGAGGAAGAGGTATATTAAGGGCCGCTTGCCGGAAAGCCTAAATAAAGTGGCCCAAGCCGTGTTCAGCTTGAGAATAGGGAGTAAGCCCAAAGTCTTATCTTGATGGGAAAATTATTCCAATGGTATGATAACTCCATGAAATATGACTTAAAACACATGGTTAACCCCAATTACACTGAGTTGCAAGTATGTGGAGTAAAAAAAATGATGGGTTGATTTTGATGTTTCAGGTCCAAAAAGAAGTGAAAGAAGTGGGCTACAAAAGAAAAAGAAAAATAAAAAGAAATGGGCTTTAGAGTTCAACTCAGAAAGGCCCGATTGGAAGACAAAAAAAAAAAGTGAAAGAAAATAAAAGATTTGTGCAGCGTAGCGATATAGAGAAAAGAAAAGATTTGTGAAAGACGGATTTGGCTAAAGAGAAAATTCAAGAAGCCCTCAATAATGTCCAAAAATTATGATTGATCAAGTTTTATTTTAGTTGAAAATTTGTAGCATTTTTTATTCTTTGTTTCAAAACTAATTCAATTTTTTTCATTATTTAGTTATAAGCCGATATGGGATGTCATTGATGAAAGATGAGACAAGAAACTTCATAGGCCTTCACATGCCACAGGCTATTACCATAACCCCAAACATCATTATTCTCCTTTATTTGAAATTGATCTTGAAGTAAAACTAGGAGTATATGATTGTTATCCAAAGGATGGGAGGGAATATTGATGATGCAAGTAAGATTAATGAGCAACTTGAAAAATTGAAGTATCGAATGGGTTTTTTTAGGGACTAGAAGGGGGTTGAGTCTAAAACTTCAGCAGCATGTTGGGAATCTGATAGGGCTCAACTCCGCAAGGCCCAATATGGTAAGGTTTACATCAGGGACCGAAATAGGGGTAAGTGGCCCAAGGGAATTATTAAGGAGAGTGCTGAGTCACATTCTTTGGAGCATGCTGAGTCAGAGGGTTTGTTACAAAAGGTTGTTACTCTTGTTGTGCCTGAAACAGATATAGGGGGGATGTGAACGTGTGACTGAGGCACCATGAAGGTCATTTGGATTGCTGAGGCAAATTGGGAGATCTAAGGGCATTTCGAAAGCCCCTGAACCATTTACATTCTGCTGATTTCTTTTCTTTATTTCTTTCTGCACAATCTGAGCTATAACAGCACTATAGCATGTAACAAGAGTTATTTCAATTGTATCACTGTTGGATTTTACTGGTTTGAGATATAAATAAAGGAATTATTCAGAGATCTCCATTGTTACTGTTTAATTATTCAGAAATCTCCATTGTTACTGTTTGATTCCTATCAGAATCTTACGGGGATAAGTTTCAAAGCTCAAAAGATTGTTTGTGCTAAGCTTGACATGAAGTGGGTAATTATCAATGAAGTCAGAAAAAATCTCCAGAAAGCCCAAACAGCAGAACAACTCAAGTTCAAGTCCAAACAGAAGTAAAATTATTAGATATGCAAAAAGCGAAACCAGAAAAGGCCAAAAAATCTACAACTGAAGGCAAAAAACACACAAACGCACAACCAGACAATGTTGTAGAAGTCTCTGAACGTCTCAAACAGCAACAAAAAAACCAAATCTGATCAAAGGAGGCATGAGTGGCAAAAAGGATCCAATTTTTATGACAAAGAGAGGTCCATGAACGTCCCAAACAGCAACAAAAAAACATGTTTGGTCAAAGGAGGCGTGAGTGGCCAAAAAGATCTGATTTTTATGATGAGATCATAGACCCACTGCTGGAAACATCCGTAGATTGATAGATCTGAAAAAACGGAGTCAAACAGTGGTCCTCTTGGTCCAAAAAGTCCTCGAAAAATTTTTCCGGTGGCGGCGAGAGGCTAACAAATAGGCTTCCGCTCTAAAGGCAGCAGTTGCGGAAACAGAGCAATCAGGATCGAGAACTCTGATACTAACTTGAAAAGAAAGAACTTGAAAAGTAAGAATTGTTAATTACAAATGTACAAAAGCTCTCTATTTATAGAGATTGGATGACCTAATGGGCTAAGCCTAAAGAAGATTCTAAAATGAAAAATAAATAATTACAATACAATTATTTACAACATAATTGCATACTTATTTTTTGACATACAATTAATCTAAACTCTATTTGCATAATTTCTAATAAGTTGGGCTAATTCTCACTGGCAAGCCGATATAGTTTAAATTAAAACATTGTCAACTTTGAACTTCAAAATTTATCATTAAATATGTTGTTTGGAAAGTAAACATGTCCGCAACAGTATTTATAAAGGTACACTTGAAAGAAAAGGGTATTTGAAATATTATTGAATTGTGTAAATAATCTGTACAAAAAGGTATCTATTTATAGAGAATGAAAAACCTAATACTTGACCTAATGGGCTTGGCCCAATACAACAAATAATAATAATTAAATAACCAATATTTACAACACTCCCCCTCAAGCTGAGGAATATATATTTATCATTCTCAGCTTGCTAGTAAGTTCTTGAAATCTGTCTGAAAGAAGTCTCTTTGTTAATAGATCAGCCAATTGACGCCCAGTGGGAATGTATGGAGTGGTAATCAGCCCACTATCAAGTTTCTCTTTGATGAAATGACGGTCAACCTTAATATGTTTAGTCTGATCATGTTGAACTGGATTATTAGCTATACAAATAGCGGACTTATTATCACATAGCAGCTTCATAGGTCCCTCATATTTTATTTTGAGATCATCAAGTATAATTTTCAGCCACAATAACTCACAAATGCCTTGAGCCATAGCTCGAAATTTAGCTTCTGCACTTGATTTGGCGACCACATCTTGTTTCTTACTTCTCTATGTCACCAAATTACCGCAAAGAAACATGCAGTAACCAGTGGTAGAACGACGGTCAGTCACAGATCCAGCATAATCAGCATCAGTGTAAACTTCTAAAGAGAGATTGCCATCACGTCGGAATAACAATCCTTTACCAAGAGTAGCTTTAAGATACTGAAGAATTCTCTCTACTGCCTGCATGTGTTTCTCCTTTGGATCGTGCATAAACTGACTAACAACACTAACAGCATAAGTTAGGTCTGGTCTAGTATGAGCTAGATATATTGTCCTTTATCAACTGGAGGACTCTCCTCTTCATAGCCTATCTTGTGATTCTGCTCAATAGGAGTATTAGAGGGTTTACACCCGAGCTTTCCTGCTTCTTTGAGAAGATCAAGAACATATTTTCTCTGGCTGATAAAAATTCCTTTCCTTGAATGAGCTACTTCTATCCCTAGAAAATATCTCAGTTTCCCAAGGTTTTTGACTTCAAACTCAGAGGCAAGTCGTGTTTACAGAATCTGTTTATCCACAAAATCATCACCTGTGATAATAATATCATCAACATATACAAGGAGCACAGTAAGCTTCCCATTATGGGAGTGCTTGAAGAAAAGAGTGTGATCTCCTTGACTCTGTCTGTATCCTAAGGTCATCATAACCTTAGTAAACCTTCCAAACCAGGCACGAGGTGACTGCTTCAAACAATACAAGGCCTTTTTTAATCTACAAACTTTATTTTCTCCCTTCACAGAATCAAAACCAGCCGGGATTTCCATGTAAACTTCTTCTTCTAACTCACGATTGAGGATAACATTTTTCACATCAAATTGATTTATATCCCAATCGTAATGGGCAGCAAGGGATAACAAGACTCTCACCGTATTCATCTTTGCAACTGGAGAAAATGTTTCTTCATAATCAATGCCATAGGTTTGAGTGTAACCTTTGGCAACTAATCGAGCCTTGTATCTCTCAAGAGTTCTATCATAATTATATTTCAGGGCATAAACCCATCTGCACCCTACTGCTTTTTTTCCATTAGGTCTATCAATAACCTCCCATGTTTTATTTTTCTCCAATGCATTCATCTCCTCTTGCATGGCTTGAGCCCAATTCCCATCTTTCAAGGCTTCATGTACTGATTTTGGGATTGCAATAGAGTCTAGTGCTAAAACAAAGCTTTTGTGCTGCACAGAAAGATTAGCAGAGGAAACAAAATGGGAAATAGGGTATTGAGTACAAGAGGGACAGGAGGAACAAGATTTCTTGGGACAAGATCTTTTTCCTTTTCTAAGAGCAATGGGTAAATCATCAGAATCAGTAGTAATGGGTAAGTCATCAGAAGTATCATGATCAGAAATATGAGATTCAAGACTTACCAGTGGTTCAGACGATTGAGATTGCTGCTGAGGCAATGTGGGCTGTTTCCTTCTTTGATATAACAACTCAGGTGTCATAATCTTCCGTATCTCTGGTGTACTTGATGTATCAGTCACAGGAGGATTAGTCACAAGAGGATCAGACACAGGAGGAACAAGAACAAGAGGAGGATACACTGACACAGGTAAAGGAGTAGACACTGAAGACTCAAAGAAGGGAGGTGGAGGATTCTCCCCCTGAAGATGAGGACCTTGGAAAAAGGACTCAGATTCCTGAAATGTAACATCCATAGAAACAAAAAATTTCCTACTACCAGGGTGATAGCACTTGTAGCCCTTCTTATCAGGAACATAACCAGGAAAAACACATTTAATAGCCCTAGGGTCCAACTTACTGCGATGATGTTTATGAACATGAACAAAAGCAACACACCCAAACACTCATGGAGGAAGACTCGTAGTTGGAATAGAAGGGAAAAAAGAAGTTATAGAGTGAATAGAACTTACATGGTCAAGTACCCGAGTGGGTAAACGGTTGATCAAGAATGCTGCAGTAAGAATAGCATCTCCCCAATAGTATTTGGGTACATGTGTTTGAAACATTAATGCATGAGCCACTTTAAGAAGGTGACGATTTTTTCTTTTAGCAACCCCATTCTGTTGAGGGGTGTCAACACAAGTAAGTTCATGAATCATACCGTTATTTCGTATAAATTGGGAAAAACTGTGATTAACATATTCAGTACCATTATCTGTTCTTAGTCTCTTGATTTTTTTACCAAATTGGGTCTCAACCATTTTATAAAATTGAAAGAACAGATGTGGTACCTCAGACTTTTCACGCATTAAGTAAACCCAAGTTACACGAGTGCAATCATCAATAAAAGAAACAAACCATCTATTTCCATAAGCATGAGGGACTTTAGAAGGACCCCAAACATCATAATGAATAGGATCAAAAGGTTCAACACTCTTAGTACTACTAGAAGGAAAAGACACACAATGATGCTTAGCAAACTCACAAACATCACAATGAAAAGGCTCAACAGACTTAGACAAAAACAATGACGGAAATAAAGACTAGAGTAAAGTAAATGGAGGATGTCCCAAGCGCTTATGATGAAGCCAAATCAAAGAATCAGCAGTTGATTGACCATGAGACATCAAGATGTGATATGTTACTTTATTTGCGGGAGATTGTGACACCAGATAGTACAACCCACCTTGCTCTTTAGCACTACCAATCGTCTTCCCCGTGGCGAGATCCTGAAAAACACAATGGGTAGGAAAGAAGGTTACAGTACAATTCAAATATTTTGTAATTTTATGAATAGAAAGAAGATTTGTGGAGAGTTTAGGAACATGAATAGCATCTTTAAGATGTAAGGACTACTGTATGTTTATGTCACCAGAACCCGTAACTAATGTATGTGAGCCATCAGCTATGGCTATTGTATGAGTTCCAATGGTAGGATGATAAGAAGTAAAGGAGTCAGCACAACAAGCCATATGATCAGTAGCACCAGAATCAACAACCCAAGAATGTTTAAAATCATTACATGAAGAAAGGAAAGAATGAGTTTTGGAGCTCATACCAGTCATAGCAAAAGCACTAGTAAGGATTTTGCAAAACAAGAAAAGTGACTTGGCTTCTTCGTTGTCCAAATTATCATAGCTTAACTGCAGGCAATTGTAAGGATTTTGCAATCCTTTTTCAATATTCACTGGTTTTGAATTTTTCAATCTATCCAATGCAACCTTCCATTCCACTTCAGCCTTACCTTTCAGAGTACTAGCCACAACCGCAATAGCAACAAGAAGTCCTTTACATTCATGTGAAATTAGTCTTGCCAAGTGCTTTAAGCTATCAGAGGTGCCTTCAAATATATGAGCTTGATTTTGGAAAAGAGCCCAAGCTTCCTCATTAGTTAAGATAGATAGTGGAATCTTTCTTTGGCAATCCATCAAAGTACAAACATTGACAGATCTTGTGGTAACGAGAACCTTGCAAACCCTATGATGTTCATTGGAGGGAATTCCTATGGCTCCAAAATCAAGCTTCTCCCAAACATCATCAAGAATCACAAGAATCCTATTTTCTTTGGTTAATCTCTTGCACAAGAGTTGGGCTTTCTCCCTTACTTCATTTTCTGGAAAGGTAAACTGTTGTGGGCTTGCAATTTTATCTTGGATCCTTCGAACTTCTACTGCACTAGACACAGGCACAAAAAGAACTTTGTCAAAAAGCTGCTTAGCTTCTGCTCTCTTCTTAACTTCCATTGCCAAAGTGGTTTTACCACACCCCCCATGCCATACAATCCAATCATGGCAACCTTGTCATCTTTCAGTGCCTCCATCAGTTGCTCATAAGCAGATTGTCTACTATCAAATTCCAAACATTTTTCAAAAGGAAAATCTGGCATGCCTGAAGGAAGTGTAGCAAAATGTTCAAGTTGTATATACTTATTGCCTTCTTCTATACAATTTTCAATGTCCACTTTTTTCTTTTCTAACTTCTTGCCCACGCCGTATTGCCAAATCCAATTCGGACAGTGCCAGAGACAATAGCTCTTGTTTGTTCTTGCTTTTTTAAGTAAATCCTCCACGTTGTTTTTGAGAGCGTTAGCTTCCTTCAACCACCCATCAAACACATCAGCATTCTTTATTGCTTGTTTATTGGCATGTTTAACAAGGTCTTCCACGCTGTCTATTGTTGTGGTCAATTTATCTTCCTGTTTTTGAAGCTCTTCAACAAAATTGTTGAAGCAGCAAGGATAGCTTAATTGATCTACTGCTCTGCACACCAAATATCTTCCAATCGCAGACGCGATGCAGGAAAGCCACTCCATCAATTTCTTCCACCAAATGCAACTTAGTTCACCTGAACAAAAGAGAAGAACATGCAATAATGAATGAGAAAAATTCAAAAACAAGTACTCTATTTCATTTCTATATGTATTGGGTTTAAAGACATGGCAGAGTGTTGAGGACGTGAACATTGGTTCCAATTCTGTTGGGGAAAGTACACGCGCATTCCTTGCAATGCTACCAAAATGTTACTTGTTCTAAAAAAAATCTAATAAAGAAGTTGCTTAAAAAATAATAAAGAAATAAATAGTGTAAAATTTGTTCAAGTTATAAAATGAACTTTTTGTTGATTTTACAACAGGATCAAACAAACTCATTTAAGAAAAACAGAAGGATTATTTGAGGAAAAGTTACGCATCAAATAGAATAGTTTATAATATATAAATGTATTGTCCTACCCCATTAAGCAATGTAACCGAAGAATTTCAATGAAGTTGAAATAGTTTATAATATAATAAAATGATCGCTTATCAATCACAATTTTGTTAAGCTACATATATTGACAGGATCAATTACGTAATGATACGGGAATAAAAAGTCGAAAAATATAATAAATATTTATTTTAAAAACTTCTTCCCTTTTATGAGGAAGAAAACGAATTATTTGATATCCAAATATTCAGATTCTAATTTGCAGGATAGAACGAATTAATGGATATATAGAACGAATCATTTGTTTCCTCAATTATCAGGATTTAACAGTGTTTTCCAAATTATAATACCATTTAATCTCGATAGGCTGATCTAAATCAAAAGTTGCTTGCCCTCTTTTGCAGAAAAAAAAAATGAGTGAGAGAGCGTAGGGTGAGAGAGACTCAGCTGTGAGAGAAAGTAAAGAAAACAAAAACAAAAAAAATACTCTATCATTGATCAGTCTGGATACCTACTTCTTGATGCCAAATTTTTGTTAGCAGCTTACTCGGGGATCCTTCTAGTTTACAGCAGAACTCCTACTGCAGTCTACAGAGAACCAATTCTCTTGCTTTGAATGTGCTTCAAATGTCTCTGTATATTCCGATGAATTTGGAGAATGGGGGCGAATATCAATGTTAAATCTCTAGGACACTAATATAGGGTTTTAGTGAAGTCCACAATCGATAATTGGACCTAATTAATTATAAAACTCTAAAATTGGACCTAATTAGGTATTATAAAAAATGAATTATTTTATTATTATTTTGTAATAGAATACTCTATCATTGTATTTGGGTTTAGCCTGTTAGGTTTTTTAGTCTCTTTAAATAGAGAACTCTTGTACAAATATGATACAATTCAATAATATACAAAATCTTCTTTTCTATTTGGTATCAAAAATTATGATACAATTCAATAATATACAAAATCTTCTTTTCTATTTGGTATCAAAGCTCTCGATTCTGAGGGCTCTGCTTCCGCAAATCACCGCCTTTAAAAAAAAATCAAACCCTATTTGAAATACTACGGGTTGTTACAATATTCAAATTGGTTTTAGTAATAGTTAACTTCATAATAAATATTTGAAATTTCATTACCTATCATGAAAAAATTGATCAATATTTTACCAAATTAATATGAATAAAAATTAAAAACGGATACCGAATCAATCTCACTAGAGTGTATCAGAGATTTTAAATTTGAAAATATAATAGTAAATATTTACATCTTATTTTTCTTTGCAAAATTGATAGGTATTATAAGTTTAATTTTTTTTTGTTAAATTATGAATATTAAATGTAATATACACTACATAAATTAAAAATATTATTTAATATTAAAATGTGTCTCCAGGTGTCAAAATTCATATTTTTTTAAAATTGACATGTCGAAGTGTCGTACAATGTCGTGTCACATGTCACATATCGGTGTCGGTGCTACTTAAATTTCAGCAATCTAATAAGTGAATTGAGAATACCAGAACAGTGACCCAAATACCAGAACAGTGAATTGATAGACATACACGATAACAAATGCATACAACGTACATGTATTTAAGTGTGTATAATCTTAAATCATATCAGTTGCTTCATCCTAAATCGAAACTTTAGAATGATAAAAGAACAATAGTAAGTAAGCCATTAAAATTGGTTCAGTGGTTAGAGATTCGAATGGTTTGCAAGAGGTCATAGGTTCAAATACCAACATTGTATATAAAAAAGGAAAATTAATTGTCTGTATATAAGGTAGGTGAGGGTAGATCCGTACTTTTGCATGTACATTAGGGATTGTGCTTAGGAGCCTAAATGGATTAGGTTGGGTGACACGAGCTGTCGAACTCGCGCAAATTAAAAATTATTTTTTTATTAGGGTTCAGAAAATTTGTAGTAGAGTGGAAACCCTAAGTCGTCTCTCAGGAAATTGCTTGGGTAAAAATCGTTTATCAAAACAGAAATTAAAAGGGGGTTTTTGAATTTTGGTTGAATAATTTAAAAGGCAGAATATAAAATTGGATGTAAAATTCGTAATTAAAAACAACGAACCTAAGATTTGGGTTCCATGGACGTCTTTCCTCGGATAAGAAGATATCAGAATCGTGATTGATTTGTCAATCAAATCAGAATCCTTATTTCCAATTGAAAACCCTCTCTAAGCGATCGCTTAGCATTTGATCAAAGACGATGCTTCTACTCATACAATCGCAGAGTATCAGGCCGCTTGATTTAAGGTCATAGGGTCAATCAACCTAATCATCAAATCTGATGATTAATCCCTTTCCATAATCGCAATCGCGAACCTCAGATTGAATATCCACGATCGCACAATATCAATCTGAGTTGGGAAGGGAAACGAAACTGATTTAAAATAAAGCGCAGACCCTCAAGACTAATCCATGGAATCCGTTACCCTTAGGTTGATTAAAAGGTTCTTAGTCTCGCATGGCTAAGGTAAACATGATTAAAATGAAAAGAAGAAGAAGAAGAAGAAGAAAAAGATGAAGAACAGAATTTAACCAAAAACTTAGAGAGAACTTTTCTATTGCAAAAACTAACTGCCGAAGGGTTTCCTAGAGTCTCCCTTAAATAGCCGTCACGCAGGACGGCTAGGGTTTCACCGCTTCAGCCCAAACATAAAATAAAAGCTGAATAAAATAAAATAAAATAATAAAACATAGCCTTGGGCCCTAAACACATTGGGTCCTAATGTGAATTACAAGTTCAAACATCAAAATAAAATTCCAGCAAAACACATCATATTGAGATCAAGTTTCGACCATCTTCCTGTCCGAATTGGTCTTCAGTAGATGAAATAGCGATTGTAGCCCTCTCTGTTAGCTGCAAAACGCAACAAGAACGGAGTCAATCAGACATCTGTAGAGTGAGATATGGTCAAAATACGGAAGTAGTGTAAATCTGGAAAATTATGACGAAAATCAATTAAACCTAACTAAAATCTAGAATTGTGAATTGACCCAAAAGACCTTTATTTAATTCAAATAAATCATAAAAATACCAACCAAGAGTAATAAATAAGTGTAACAAAATATGATTTATCATTGGGCTCGACTGAGTTTGGCTTAAATTGGTCAGACTTGTGTTAAATACTTTAGTTCTGACATGGTCTGTTAACCTTGTGTAGGCCCAAAATAGAAGTCTGATGTGACCTATTTTTAAGCCTATTAGGCATTCAATATAATAATTAAAATAATATAAAATTTAATTATTTAAAAGTATTAAAATTATTGTTTATTTATTTTATTTAAATGAAAAAATATAATATAGGTCGGCCTGTAAGTTTATATGTCCGACATGTAAAAATAAGCCTAACACCTATTTTTTAAATAGTCTTTTTAAGAACCTGAGCATATTCTATTTGACTATATATAATAGGCGAGTCTGGACTTATATAGGTTAGGTCGTTAGGGGTGTAAATGGGTCAGGCTGACCTAGCTCAGCCTACGGCCCGGCCTACATTGAGCCCGACCCAGGCCCGGCCTTTCAAAAAAGTAGAGTAGACTTAGGCTTATAAAAAAGTTTTTTTAACAAATAGGTCATAGGCTAATTTTGTCAAGCCCGGCCTACAGCCTTGTAGGCTGGCCTATTTAATTTATTAAAATAAAATAATAAAATAATAAAATAATATTTATTTTTGGTGATAAAGACGCAAAGTACCAAATACCAATATCTCTTACTTTTTGTGCTATTTTATTTTATAAAAGGAAAACTTGTCTAATGTCTCCAAATTTTACATGCTGTTATAGCTTAATACCATGGAGCAATGGGTACCTTGCTGGATTATGATGTTACTGATGAAGATCTTTCAATAATACTCTTCTTTCCCTTGTCTTGATGGTGGTTTAAAGATTTTTAGATGAATGACCTTCTCTTGTAGACTTTATTTCAGCATCCAGTAATTGTATTTTTCTTATTTTCCTCATTTCTTTGACTCTATTTCTCTATGATATACATTCTAGAGCTGAGGTATTATGTTGACTCTTTCTTGTTTGTCATTTTTTTCTTATTAGAAGTACTAGTGCATGCATGAATGGAACTTTCTTTGTTCTATACAATTATTATTTTTGTTTAGTATCTACAGTGGGAGGCCTACAAGGCCTGTAGGCCATGTCAGGCTTTCTTATTTTTAAAAATGGGCCGAGCTTGGCCTACAAATAAAGCCTTTAATAGGCCAGTTTGCCAGATAGGCTGAATTTTTTTTAACGTAGGCTTGGGTCAGGATGGCCAAAGTCCAGCCCATTTACACCTCTATATGTCGTAGACCTCTGTTAGGCCACATATCTCATTTACATCCCTACGTGTGCTTAATGCGAAAGTTTATTTTATTTTATTTTTCACTTGCGGGGTACTAAAGATTTAATGTATCACTTATTAAAGTTAAAATAAATAATTTATGTAATGCATTTACTTTACACACTCTTTTATGGTTAATATTACAATAGTATCATTTATTTTTAATTTTAGTAAAATAATACATATCACAAGAATATATATTGAAAATTGCTCGCTAGCTCAATGCGTGGAGTGAAATAAAACATGTGAATTTCGATGCC